GTCCTAAAACTCTGAACGCTTTTACAGCCATATCGTTACCACAGCGGAGGGGTGAGGAGAGTCATTAAAGTGTCCGACAGCATGGCACGTGTCCTAAATCACTCTGCCCAACAGCCCAAACAATTCACCAGCCACTAAAGAAACAAGTGCTGGATCTAATGACCGCTTCCTGTTTGTTGCGGCAGTAAAGCTTTGAAGGCCACAGCCACAGCTGATATGAATGAGTGAAACAAAGGACAACGGTAAACTTTTCTGTAACTAAACTATGAGTTTGATCTTGCTAGTCAGTAATGAGGAGGGGTAGTTATGTTCAAATATCTACAAAACTAGCAAGTTTCTCTTCGAACCACCATGGCTGAAGTTACGTCTTTATCTATAGTCAATTTTCACATCTTAAATACCTCCGTATTGTATAGTAATTTAATAACGGTGCATGTCTGAAGTTATAGTAACAGTTGGAGAACAATACGCCGACTATCCCATGAGGCCGCAGGATAGGATTCATAAATGCAAGTGAAATGACACATTAAGATTATTACACACATTCATACTACAGAACGCACTTGTTTGAAGTTTCCAAAGTTCGCTGCTCATCGAATGTAGCAGTTATGCAAGCGTTACGCTATTTTAGGATGTAGGGTAATAAAGATATTGGAATTTGGTGCCAATTGATACTGAAGTTTTAAAAACATCCATTTCCCACAAACATTTGAGCGCTGTTAAGCATGTTCTTAAACAGGGGTGATTTGCCATTTTGTTCACAAGCTCAACAGAAACGACTGTGATTGGCCATGAAGGTAATCGGTTCACCGAACTTACCGCTGTTTCCAGAATATAACTACAGACACAGGGACACTGGAGCATTTCAAATCACGTCTATAAGCTGACATTCAAGCGATCCACAGATGAATCGCAGCTTTTTTGAATGATTTTTTTATTGATTCAGTGTACACAAATATGACTTGTTTGAGGGGGGGCTCGTCCGGGATTCTGGCTTTTCATTAAGTGCATTATTAGATTCTAAAATTTTAAAGGTTTCTTTTTTTTTTTTTTTTTTGAAAACGAATTGAATTTATATATAATGTAGCCGCTTTCACCCGCATATTTTTATGCGCATTTTATAATATTGCATTAAAAAAACAGCAAGATGAGCATATATTTTAAAAATACGCATAACAAACTTTTTTCTGTAACTATAGGTAGTTGTAGAGGGATAAACCTTTTAACCGATAATATCAAATGCACATAAACTAAAATGTCAACTCATTTAGCGAATCAATTCTAGTATGCGCTTCAAACAGATCATGTGATGACCAAAATATGCGCGACGGGATAGCATTAATGGACTAACCGACAGACTCACAACATTGTACAACATTTTAAATGTTGTTTTGAAAATTCTTGTTTTAAAAATTCTTTGCCTAGGCAAAGTGGTTGAGTATTATTACGTCACGCCTCCAAAAGCCAAACATAGTTATTTCAGTTGAGCATGTGAACACATTGGCAAATCAGCGCCGTTAAAGAACGTGGTCAACAGCACTCAAATGTTACCAGGAAATAGACATTGTTTAAACTTCAGTATCATTTGATACCAAATTCCAGTTTTGGGACAACCCTAGTAGGATGTACCTAGTTTATGCTAATGCAGCTACAGCACCCCTTGTGGTACTTTCGTTTTTTCAAAGAATAGTTCACCCAAAAATAAATATACCAGAATTTTTAAAAGTAATATGACTTAAAGTGATACGTCGAAGTTCAGTTTCTTGCATAGACCAATCGTTTCACTTTAAATCCCAATGTATTATCAGAAGCAGAGTTGCCAGGTTTGCGGTTGTCACACTTGTGACTGGTTGATTTTTTTTTTAATATGCGAGTTTTAAAATTGAGGTATTGGAGTCATTATATTTGTGATATGATAAAAACTGTTATTGATAAAACTAAGCACATGTTTAGGTAAACTCTAGAAAGGATACAGCTGTGGATACGCACATCAATAAAGCATCGTTTTTGTAAAACTGTATTACAATAATTTATTTTGTTTTTAATACTATGACAGTTGGGTTTAGAGTTGTTAATAAAATAGTATTTATTTTAATAAATATTATAAATGTATTTTTAATAAATAACATAAAAATACTCTGTAAAACTACTGTTTTTACATTACTGTGACGGTTGGGTTTAGGGTTAGGGTAGATGTTAATAAAATACAATAAATGGGAAATATAATAAACAATATAAATAATTATTGTTAACTTCCAGCCACAACTGTATCTGATCTAGCAACAACTCATGTTTGTGAGATGAAGAGCACTAAAAGAGACAGTTGTTTATGAGCGGCTGTTTACGCTTTCATGGTAGCAGATTGGCAGGACTTTTCAGGATTTGCTCAATTATAACTGCAAAACTAAATGAAATCTATAGAAGAAAGTCTGTTGAATTACAATATAATTTTTAATATCTTAAATGTTTTATCTTAATTTTTTTAAGGATATACCTTCAAATTAAAACGAAATACACAATTTGGGTTTCAATTCTACCAGAGTTGTTTAAATTTTAACTGGAAGGCACATGGCAGTCACACAAGAGAAACCATGCCGGCTGAACTATGAATTTTCAGGTAAGAATATTTTTTATTAAAACAATCTTTTTATGATAACAGAATCTTTATATATATACTAATATAATAAAAATAAAAATAAATGTATCATAATGCATACACTGATGTAAAATATGTATTTTAGTAATGTGCAGTTGACATATTTGAGTTTTAAAATTGTTGAGCTAGCTTTGACTGGGGGATTTATTATTTTTTTTCAAAAACCTGGCAACCAGAAGCTGAGTATTAATTTTGTGTTCCCTTTATGTGTGTGTGTGTTTTTTTTTCACTCGCAAAGTGTGGGGAGCCATTTACTTGCATTTAATAGATCAGTGAAGACCCCATTTTGAGTAACAAATCTTCTTTGATGAAGAGAGAAAGTGCCTTACATCGTAGATAGCGTGAGTGTAAGTAAATTATAAGTGAAATTTCATTTTTGGGTGAATTATTCGGAATTAACGGAAGCCTGGATAGCTTAAGCATTTGTAATTTCATATTTATTTGGTCTTAGACTAAACGTCAGACTGATCATATACTAATAAGCAGAGTAAAATATATAAATCTATTTATTATCAGTACCAAATATTGTCACGTTTAAAACGAGAAAAACAATATTTCTATTATTACTATTAATCCTTTAAAATAAAAAAGCTAATTGGGATTGTTGTCTCATCTTGGATAAAAGCAGAAACCTGAGAACTGTGTTTGAAAAAATACTTTTCTCTTTAAAAATATAGCAAATTGTGAACCAGCTGTCCATCTGGCCTACATAAATATGTCTTTTTAAGATGCATTGCATGCAGAAGTTAGTGATAGCAGTTAGCAAGCTAAGCCAGCTACGGTGTCACAGTCATCAAACAATGCGTCAAAGCAAATTAAATGTTTAAGGCATCATTTTTAAGCTAGTTAAATACTTTTGTATGATTTAGTAAACTACAAACAGAGAGAAGTTCACTCCCTCATCCACAGTGATTTATCGAAACAGCGATACGAAATGCAAATCATCTGCTGAAATAAATAAAACTGGATGTCGAATTAAATCCCTTTAAGCCTTGTTTTCTATCTGAATGTACACTACTGGACAAAAGTTTTTCATCAGTAAGATATTTTTTTATGTAAAATACATTTTGTTCACCAAAGCTACATTTATTTGATTAAAATTACAGTAAATACTTGTTGTGAAATATTATTACAACTTAAAATAAATTTGAGGGATATAAACAAATAAAATAGTCCCAACTTATTTCCTACATTACATTTTTAATTTCTATAGCTTCCGAGAATCCAAATATTAATAAACAATGTTATGATAGTAGTTGTAAGATTAAGTTATGATTGTATTACCTCTTAAAAATAAATAAGTTTGAAATAGAAATTGAAATAGGTTGAAATGTAGGAAAGTTTGAAGCAGGAAATGTCCATTGGCCAAGGACATGACCACATTGAAATAGTCTATAGCAGGGGTTTCCAAACTCGGTCTTGTAGGGCCAGTGTCTTGTTGAGTTTAGCTCCAACTTACTTCAACACACCTGCCAGGAAGTTTCTAGTATATTTAGTTTGAGCTTGATTAGCTGATTGAAGTGTGTTGGGAGCTAAACTCTCCAGGACACCGGCCCTCCAGGACCGAGTTCAGACACCCCTGGTCTATAGAATCCAGTTTAAAATACAATGTACTCATTTGATTTTACATTGAATTTTGGGCATCATTAACCCAGTCTTCAGTGTCACATGATCCTTCAGAACTTATTCTATAGAACCTTTTCACATTTCCGGGTTTCTCAGTAGTGGAAGTCGTCATAGATGGGAAAATCTTCGAGCGCAGGGAATAGGAGAATAGAACTAATAATTTTGTTACAATCTTATTTGCTCAAATAATAAAAGAAAAAGTTCTCAATCGTGTTATAAAGGTGTTCAGAAAAAGAAAAACTATTTTGTGAGACTAATGACGGCAGCGAGAGGAGAGAATAACGTCAAATTTACTGTCCTCAAACATAGCTGATGCATTAGAAACCTCTCGCACAAGCGGTAATTTGTTTTTTATAATTTGACATACAACACACATAAATGCATATAAATGTTCACATGTTATTTTAAAAAATCTCAATTTAAAAACATTTAAGTAATTAAGATGCTGATGACTGTTAAACGCATCATAACCGTCCTGTGAAAAGGGTCCATTATGCTGATTTGCTGTTTTGTTAAGATCAATTATTACTAGTACTCAATCATTAATCACGACTTTCTAATTATCAATTTTGGAAACATTTTTCCTGCTTTATAGTTTTGTGGAAAATATGATTTGTTTTGTATTCATTGATGAAAATAAAGTTATATATTTTATTTTTTTACAATGTAAAGTGTCCTTAATGAATTAAAAAAGATTTTTTTTTAAATATATTTTAATTGTGATCACATATGGCAGTCCAAATATTTTTAACTTAATAATAATAATAATAATAATAATACCTGTCTCATTTCAAAGGCTGCCACATTCCAAAGTCCACACAAGCCATACCGAACATTTTGAAATGAGATGATCTAGTCTACAGAGGACAGATCTCTTAGTAAGACATAGGTGTTTTGTTTTTTAACATTTGTTTAGATATTCAAGTAAGGTAAACCTAATTAATACATTTAATCTGGAGCTTTCTGTTAAAAATGTCCTGCAGTTATCAGCGCGCAAAGAATCTTGGAACGTTCAAGGCCACAAAAGATCCACTGGTTGTGTCCTTCATTACCTGGGAAACGAAGGACGCATTTTGAGGCTGCATTTAAAGGAGCCATCGATTTTTGTTTAAATGATTCAACCTTCGTCGTGCTGTAATGACGCAGCGCCCTTCGAATGCATCCTTCGGAGGATGCAGCCTCTGAAATGAGACACAGCCATTGTTTGCATGTGTGGCGATCATCATCATATTAGAAAGATTTCTAAAAGATTGTGTGATCTATAAAATTCTATTTGAAATCTACAAAAATAATAATAAACGCTTATTTTAAAAAGTAATAACTCTTCACATTTTTCACTCAAGTTTTGATCAAATAAATGCTGCCTTGGTGAGCAGATGTAAAAAAAAATAATACTGATCCAAAACCTTTGCCCTTTGGTTAAGAAATAAGAGGACCGATCATTCATATAAACCACTAAACACCCCTGCAGATCCTTCACATAGGAAGAGTGCTGGTGTGACGTCAGAAGACAAAACAGACAATGATGAACAAGTGTTGTGCTGCTGTCTCAGGATTTGTCCCGACTGCTGTTGTTCTGAATGAACTCCTGGTTGCTATCAAAGGCCATGCTAATGCGACACATGGACTCGATCTCCTCTAACAAGCCTTTCTCCTGAGTCTCACTACTGTCTCCTTCTATACCTGTGCCCAGGAGCTGCTTTTCCCTCTCCCAGGGTACATGCACTGAAAGCTGTCCGCTTGCTGTTTTGTGCTCCTGATGGGGCCTCTGGGTTTTTCTGGAAAGGACCTTCTGTCTGGAGAGGCTTCGAGCTGCTGGGTGCTTTTTTTCGGGGCTCAGTAGGCCATCAGCTGAATTGGTTGCCTTTTCCATGTCGGGAAACAGGATCTGTATTGTGGGAGTCTCTGGGAGAGAGTTCCTCATCGGGATGTCTTCGGTGGGAGGGGGAGGATGGACTGGAAGGGAGCAGGAGCTAGTTTGGCGTCGAGGTGAAGGCGGGAGATGTTTACCGTGGACAGCGCTGTCATCTTGACCTGTTTTCCAGCCGGCTGGCTCTCCATTTCCTACTTCACATCCGGTTGCAGTAGGACTACTGCACAGAGGAGACTTGAAGCTTTTCTGGAAACAGTACAAAACATTCACAAGATCATGGCACAGATTTGAGATTTTGTCAACATAAGATCCTGACTAACTGTTGAAACTGAACATAATTACTCAAAAATAATCGAAAATTGTCAAATTAAAACTCTATCTTCTGCAATATAGATAGATCTTTTAATTTAATAAATTGAATTAGCATAAATTACTATTAAAAACTATTTAAAAATCACAAATTATAAAAAAATGAAATTTAAATAATGAAACCATTTAAATACGTTTATAATGAAAATAGTTTAATAATAATTAAAATAATTAATAATAAATAAAGTGAAGCAATATACAAACAAATAAATAAAATAAAACAATGAACTAATTATGAATACATTCAAACATATGCAACAATAAACAACAAAGAACAATAAATTAATTAAACATAGAAATATTATACATTTTTATAGCTAATACACATCAGTACAATTTTAAGTGATAAATATAAAATCCATAAATATTTAAATAATACATATCTTTATGTTTATATTAATATCAGAACCTCAGAAATGAGAAAATAATTAATCAAATATGAATTTACTTGTATGAAAAGAATAAATTTATTAGTCAAATCTAATAAAAATATAAATAAAATAATAATAATTTTTATTATATAAATAATAATAATAAAATTATATTATAAATATAATAATAATAATAAAATAGTAATAATAATAATAATAATAATAATAATAATAATAATACAACAATATTAATAGTAAAATAAAAGTAATAAAATAATAAATAATAATAAATAATAATAATGATAATAATAATAATAATACAAATAATAGTATTATTAATAATAATAAATAATTATAATAGAAATAAAAATAGAAATAATAGTAATACTAATCAAATAATAATAATCATCATCATAATAATAGTAAAATAATAATAATAATAATAATAATAATAAAACAATTATTATTATATAAATATAATATAATAATTATTTATGATATGTTAATTATCAATATATGTTAATAATCAATTAATGAATGAATGAAATCTCTGACCTTGGGATTGTAGTCGAGGTCTTCGAATGACCTGAAGAAGTCAAGGCTCTTGGCAGCGGACAGTCGGCCCTGCTCGATGTGGGATGTACTGAGCGAGTCCAGAATCTCCTCCAGCAGGTTCATCTGTCCTGACTGACTGACTTCAGACCGAAGCTCTAAATCAGACTCATCACTGTCCTCATTGTAGGACGGCACCTCCCCGCTGTCCTCAGATGAGATTCTGAACAAACACACGCAGGCAGGCTGTAAACCCAAAGCCATATGGGAGAGAAAAAAGCACCAGAGGGCAGTGTTGCCTTGACAAATAGATGCTGTTTACCTCATAAATGTTGTGGAAAACATAAACAATGGGTCAAAAGTTTGGAATCACCATGATTTTTTAAAATGTTTTTAAAAGAAGCACATTTTGCTCATTACAATTACATTAATTTGATCAAAAATGCACCAAAAACTGCTAAATTGTAAAATATTATTACAATTTGAAATACCCATTTTATTACTGAATCAGTCAAAAGTTTCAGAACAAAAAACAAGTGTTGAACCGACACCTGTGGTTTTTACTAGTTACCATACAATTTAATTAAGCATGATTAAGACTGTAGTTTAAGTAAACTTTACTAGCATCATTCCTCAGAGTATACATTCAGATGAGTTAACTTAATTGACCAAATGTGACTCAATATGAGCAAGAATTACTTTTACTGCAATAGTAAATAATACTTGTTATTAAATTAAGATGACTTAATTGACCTAAGTCAATGTGACTCAGTACAAATAAAAATGACTTTTTCTACATTAGTAAACAGTACTGTGATAAAGTTATGATAGCTTGAATTAGAGCAACGGGTTTGCATAATTCAATTAAATAAACCTAACAAATGACTTTTTACAGTGTGTTTTCATTATTATTTTGTGACGCAATGTTTAGCAAGGGCGAGGCCGTGGCGCAGTAGGTAGTGCTGTCGCCACACAGCAAGATGGTTGGCTCAGTTGGCGTTTCTGTGTGAAGTTTGCATGTTCTCCCTGCCTTTGCGTGGGTTTCCTCCGGGTGCTCCGGTTTCCCCCACAGTCCAAAGACATGCGGTACAGGTGAATTGGGTAGGCTAAATTGTCCATAGTGTGTGAATGTGTGTGTGGATGTTTCCCAGAGATGGGTTGCGGCTGGATAAGTTGGCGGTTCATTCCGCTGTGGCGACCCTGAGGGACTAAGCCGACAAGAAAATGAATGAATAAATGAATGTTTAGCAAGATTGATCAAATTGATTAAAATGATTGACATTTATAACGTAACAATATATTTGCTGATAAATGAGCATTTTTAAATTTATATTTACATTTTAAAAAATATATAATATTTTGAACAAAATAAATAAGTAGAAAAGTTATTTTATATAATAAAAATGTGTCAATGTTACTGTTTTTGCTGTAATTAAGATCAAATAAATGCAGGCTTGGTGCAAAATTCAATTTAATTGCAGTTTATTTGTGCAGAGTTTTTTTTTTATTCATTATTGTTTCAAAGCAGCTTTACAAAAAGTGCACATCATTGCATTATGATCAAATAAAAGTTATTATATACAGACATAGTTAACCAGCGATTTTAAAGCATATAGGTGATGTCTATGCACAGAGGAGAAATGGTCATGTCCAATTGAGCCTGGTTTTTCTCGAGTTTTGTTTTTCCTTAATTTTCATCAATTGGCGAAGTTTGTTCCTCGCCACTATCACGACTGGCTTGCATGGTTTGGGAGTTGTGGAGTTGCGCATCAATGGATTTGCTCTTCAGTGTTTGGACTTTCAGCAGTGAAAATTAAGCAACACTGAACTGAACTAAACTGAACTTCAACTCTGAAAACTGACACAGTTTCAGTTTACTAGAACGTCTATAATAAGCTGATTTGACACAATCTACATTGTAAAAGCGTTATAGAAATAAACATGCATTGAACTGAACGTTCAATGAAGTGAATAAAAAAACATAAAAAATCATACATTTCTAAAACCATTGACCCATAGGGTAATTTATATTTTATTTACTCCTGTGATTTAAAGGTGAATACTTTAAGAGAATTATTCCACACTGCAATGTAACATGCTGTTTGCAATTCTTTCTAATATGGTGATCCGCTGCTCAAGAACCATATATTATTATAGTACAGTTAAAATTATTATTATTAGCCCCCATTTAAATGTTTTTCATTTTTAAATATTTCCCAAATGATGTTTAACAGAGCAAGGAAATTTTCACAGTATGTCTGATAATATTTTTTCTTTTGGAGAAAGTCTTAATTGTTTCATTTCGGCTAGAATAAAAGTAGTTTTTAATTTTTTAAAAGCCATTTCAAGCTCAAAATTATTAGCCCCTTTAAGCCATATTTTCTTTTCAACAGTCTACAGAACAAACCATCATTATACAATAACTTGCCTAATTACCCTAACCTGTCTAGTTAACCTAATTAACCTAGTTAAGCCTTTAAATGTCACTTTAAGCTGTATAGAAGTGTCTTGAAAAATATCTAGTCAAAAACTATTTACTGTCATCATGAAAAAGATAAAATAAATCAGTTATTAGAGATGAGTTATTTAAACTATTATGTTTAGAAATGTGCTGAAGAAATCTTTTCTCTGTTAAAAAGAAATTAGGTGAAAAAATAAACTGGGGATAATAATTCAAGAGGGTTAATAATTCTGAATTCAACTGTATATTTGCTAAACTAATGCATCCCTGATGAGTCTTCTGTTAAAAAAAACCCTGACAAATCCAAAAATGTCAAAACAATATTACTATACTTTAATAATACACTTAAAACCCTTACCTGCTAGCATTGTCGTCATTGTTATAACTGTCAGGATAGAGCGTGTGTGGAGATGACTTCAGGTTTTGATACTAAAAAAAAAAAAGATTGAAACATTAATACATTAATACCACAGCTAACCTAAAAAAGCAACACATTTCTTGAATATTTATAAAAAAAAACTTTGAAAACTTTGTCCCCATTACAAAGCGACAACATTAATCCGCGTCCCCGACGAAGGTGCCAGGTCTGCTAATCCCTTGGCTTTTATAACACACCTGTGCAACACGTTTAATTGGCAAATTAAAGAATTGAAGCATTATTGGGCACAGCTTCACGCGGCGGCAGCCCCAGGCTTTAGGGTTCACCATTAACTAGCCGTCCACGACACGCAAACGCACACGCAAACGCGCCGCCACTCACTAAAGTAGGCCATAAACTGCCGTTTGCCACATTATCAAAGCACGCCACTAAACCGCCGAGCCCGAGGCGCGAGGAAAACGTCACGCTACGTTGCTAACCGGACGGATCAACTGGTCAATGCTCGCTGTAATAGCTTGGGCGAAAATCTTGGGTATCGGTGCATGCAGAATGGGTTAACGGCCACCCTGTCCATAAAAATAGCTGAGAGATGCGTGTAGCGAACACTTTGCCATTGGAATAAACAGGAACACATGTTGGGCACTGATTGCCCCACTCGCTAGTAGCCGGCAGCTATAATGAAAGCGATTACGGGGGGTTCAGGCCTTGAATCCTCCAAAAGGCTTTAATGGATTCCTGTGTCAGGGCCATAAATCTGGCCGGCAAGCCACTTTGGCTTAAGTGAAGGGGTTTGGATGCACCTGCGGAACTGTGTCACATTCATTTGCTGTGTGTGTTTGTGTGTGTGTTTGTGTTTGCAGTTTTGTAGCCCCTTGAGTTGTGAAGCAGACTCCGCTGTTCAGAGAGTCTGGCCTCTCTCTTGTGTTTTCTACAAGCAGAGGTGTTTATTAAAACAAGGTGAGCGAAGGATGGCAACACCAGGCCTGCATCTCAAACACCTTCTACTGAAACACACACAGAAAAGCAAACCTGTAACCCATACAAGCAGATACATGTGATAAAAGTCATTATGTAAGTTAGTCTTTCTAAAACTAACATTTATTATCTATTCTTGAGTTATAATTAGCTTTCTACCAAGGAGTGGTGTAAAATAACAAATTACAAATACTCAAGTGACTGTAATTGAGTAGTTTTTTCTCAGAAATTAGCAATTTACTAAGTAGTTTTAAGAATGGGTACTTTTACTTTCCCTTGAGTACATTTTAGAGCAGTACTGATACTTTTACTCCACTACTTTCCTTCAACCTGCAGTCACTACTTTATTTCTTCATGTCTATGGGGATTAGAAAAATCAGTCCTGTGATTCCTGTCCAATCAAAGCTCACATAGAAGGTAAATCGCGTTAGAATGAACTACCTCAAGACATGAGCGCTTTATGCAGCAAACTATTTGGAAGCTTTAAAATAGTTCAAGAAGATGTCCAAAATCTTTACATGCACTGACCCAGAGAATGTTTGGATGTATGCCAATGATGACAAGATGATGGATGTTTACTGTATGATGACCGAAATGGCCTTAAACATCCAGCAGACACAAGACATCAACATGATGTCAGATTGACGCTGTAGGGATGTTTTTGCAAGTGTTTGAAAATGAAAATTGTTTTGACGTCAGAACTCAATGTGAGGCCGACGTCAATGTCCAACGTCCAACCAAAAATCAACCAAATATCAATGTCGTATGATGTTATAGCTTGACGTTGTTTGGACCTTATGACGTTTATCTGACGTTAGATTTTGATTGCCATACCTGATAAATAAATGTCAGTTTTTGACGTCAATATGATTTAAGATGTTGGCTTGACGTTGGATTTTGGTCACTTTCTAACACAACCAAAAATCAACCAAATGTCAACATCTTTTTGGTCACTTGACGTTACAACCTAAATCTACGTCATAAAACCTAATCATTTCAAGTATTTTACATTAATTTCTCTTAAACTGGAATGATATATAACCAATGTATGATTTACAGTAAACTAAACCCCTTATAAATATTGTAAATTAATGCAAACGGCTTAATTAGTGATAGAGGACATTTCATTATGTTAATAAGTGTTGTTTAACTTGTTTTAAAATATAATAATAACAGTGTTGACGTTTTCCATCCTTTTGCCCTTTAGTTCAAAATGCTAATGAAAAAAAGATGATGCTGATATAACAACACTATCTCACGGCAAATCGTAACTTTTTGATAGTGGCTAATTAGTATGAATGTGTATGATCTCATTCGTACTATTTAGTTTGATTTACTGATCCCCAATGATGGTTGGGTTTTGGGGCAGGGTTGGGTGCCACGCATCCTTTTTAAAATGCTACTTTTTCGTACAACTGAACTCGTATGATTTCCTATGAATTAGCCACTAAACTGACAAAACATAAAATAGTAACGTTTCCTCGTGAGATCAGGCTGAATATAATGCTTTTCCATCATATTGTTTTTAAAAAGCGGATAGAAATTCACTGAAATATCACAATAACAGAGTTGACATATTATTAATCTACAACATTTTGTATAACTTAATGAGAAAACAACATATGACATGGCTCGATGACTTTTGCATGTTCCTACCAGAGGAAGAGACATTACTTGGAGCAAGTCGCATGCTTTTTCTATCAGTGTTTTAAAGATTGTTGTGCCTTTTTATAACCGAGTTGACCCGAACATAGAAGCAAACACAATTTGTTTAATTTCAAATTTACAAATAATACTGAATGTAGATGTTTCAGGCATATTATTATTTTACTTAGTAAACACACAAAAACTATGAAAATTAGACTGAATTATTCCATTGTAATTAAAGCCAAATGTTTGATTGAGGAAGCAAAGTCCAAAATAAATTTATACTAGAAGTATAAATTACTTATATAATACACACATACATTTTGACAAACTTGTTTCTTTAGATATATAATTAATAACTTTAGATGAATACCTCATGAAGGTCTTTCCCTAAATAAAGTTCTGTACCAGTGCTGTGCCTTCTTTTGTCTGATTTACATTTATTTCTTTGATTCAAATCAAACTTTGTAATGTTGTGATTTAGTTTGTAGCTGGTTAATGTGGTTTATGGATTAATATGACTTAACAGAGACTTTTTAAAAATCCCTGAGACAAAATACTTCCAAAGCAACACCGCTGACACTCTACTGACCCAAGTCTAAAATAAAAGGTCTATACTTTGGCTTATACAGTATGTGTGAAGTAGTAACAGTAATGATAGCCTAATCAAATCCATACTTATGCTTGAAAATGTATAGTAGATGATTTAAGAAAAACATAAGACAAAAGTTAGCCATCATTAAATTTCCTTTAGTTCTCTCAACACATTTAGTCAGTTATATGTTAAAACTACAGGTTTATAAGTAATTCTATAATTGAAGGAACATTTGATTTGTAAAGTCATGATTTTTTTTGTCTTTTTTTGTAATTATATAGATTTTTAATTTGCTCACTGTAAAAAAAACAAAAGACAATACAGTCCATAACAATAATATGAAACAGTTGTATATAGTACACCGTACAAAATCCTGGGTTCCATGCAACTCCTACATGTTATCCCAACACAAATCGATTAAATTCACTTAATCGTTTTTACAAACTTAAGTGGATTGAAGAAAAAACTATTACGTTTTACTATTAACCCCCCTTAAAAATTAAGAATCGTGTTGTTTCAACTCATTTGATAAGGTCTTAAGGCAATTTGAGCTCGCTCTGAGTAAATCAAGTACATTTTTTTGTAACTAGTCAAAATGGACAGAATTAATTTTCAATTTAATTTCATGAAACTAATAAAAAATAACAGTGAATGTGACTGAATACAATCAACATATGTGCAATGTGTTTCACAGTGAAGAATAACTTTTTATCAATAAAAAAAAAAAATCACAATATATATTTTAACTCAGAGTTAAGAAGAAATAGAAAGAAATTAAATACTACACCCAAAAAAATTATTTTCCTCACCATTTACTCAAACTCAAGTGGTTCTAAACTGAAATGAGTTTTACATCCGATCATGTATATGGAAATCGGGCTCAATCACGTGGTTTCAGACTCGATCGGAATAGGATGTTACCTCCGTATCAGGACTCGAATACCGGATAATATATTTATATTCTAATTTTGTGATTTTATAACACATTAATAGTTAGAGGGATTATAAAGTTGATGACAGCAACATTTCAGCAAACTGTGAGATAAGTAAATTTGGGATTGCCTGCTGGGTATTTGAAGTTGAGGTGCTGTTTGTTTTTATATTAGATTTTTTTATATTTACTGTTGCACTAAAGTCTAAAAGTGAAGAATTGATGTCATTTATTACTTGATCAAGCTACCTCACAGAAGTGCTTTGTTTGTTAGCAGAGATGTTAAATGTTAAAATAAGGTGAATTAAATAGAAAATAAGAAACATCCTGGATTTAATTCTTCGTTCTTCTTTATTATTATTATTTTTTTAATATATTATAGAAGTATCGGATTGGGTTTCGGCATTGGTAGATACTCAAAATCAAATGACTTTGACACGAGGGCAAAAAACTGATCGGTACATCCCTACTTTCTTCTGTTGAACACATAAGCAGATATTCTGAAGAATTTTGGGAGAAAAGATCTATTGACCTTCTTAGTAGGAAGAAAAAATACTATGGAAGATATCGATATTACTTTATTTTGATGGTCCCTTTGCTACATTGCATTTACATGCCAAATAAAGCTCATTAGATTATAAGTAGACTGTCAGGTTGAGGTTAGGGTTAGTGAAAGTTGACATGTACTTGCAAAGTTTCTTAAAGTCAGTTAAATGTCTGTTGAAGGAGCAGTATCAGCAGATATTAAGCAGACAGTCTACTAATACGCAAATGAGAAGTAACTGGCATGTATTTGCAATGCAACTTGTAGTCAACAAAATGTGCAAAAAGGACCATTAAAATAAAGTTTTGCAAAACCTCTTCTTTTGTGTTCAACATATGAAAGAAAGTCCATCAGATGT